GGGGCCTCTTTCTTTGTCCTGAGTTGACCGGCCGACCGGGGGCCGCCAAAGCCAAGAGGAACCGCTGACATCCGGCTTGGGTTTCACGGACTGGGGGAGGGAAGAGCACTCTGCACATGCTCCAAGAGGCCTGAGGCAGACTGTGTGGGGCTCGCTGCCGGCAGGGCAGGGCAGGGGTCACCGAGATGAAGTGACCACCCCAGAAAGGCGGCAGGAAAGGGTCCCCAGTCATGGTGGGTGAGCAGCAGCTTTTCCCTGCCTTTGAACAGGAAAGGCACCTCCCAAAGCAGCAGATTCCAGCACAGGGGCCATCATCCGCAATATTGCTTAATTTCTGGTGCCACGAAGACCACCCCATGGCCTTGACGTCACATGGTCTCTCTCTCTCTCTCTCTCTCTGTCTCTCTCTGAAAGCTCATCACTTTCATCCCAGATTCCCAGGGCTTGGCTCTTGGGGGGGGGGGGGGGGGTGCATGTGGCCAGAGACCAGAGACTGCCTGGTGCTTGTTAACCCCATTGCAGGTCTGAGCGCTGGTGCTGAGATTGGATTCTAGGGCTAAACACGTGCAGGGCAAGGAAGAGGTAGGGGTGTGTGGGTGCCTTTCTCCGGGACACCTATTGGCTGCCACGCTTCATGGCACATTCTCTGCTCCCCTGAACCCAGTGGGTCTTACTCCCAAGGAGGGGCCTGAATGGCCCAGCTGTTCTTGCAATCAAGTGGGTGGTGGAAAAGCCAGGTTTTTCCATCTGTACCCACATGGAAAGGTCGGCTGGGGTTGGCGAGCCATGATTCCTACTCATAAATGCAAAACCAAGACGAGAGTCAGGGTTCTCCCCCTTCCGTCCCCATTCCATTCCATTGGGACAGCCCCCTTTTGCAAAGTCAGGGCATCACCTCCATTCCATTCGGGTGCCTTTCTCCCGGACACCTATTGGCTGCCACGCTTCATGGCACATTCTCTGCTCCCCTGAACCCAGTGGGTCTTACTCCCAAGGAGGGGCCTGAATGGCCCAGCTGTTCTTGCAATCAAGTGGGTGGTGGAAAAGCCAGGTTTTTCCATCTGTACCCACATGGAAAGGTCGGCTGGGGTTGGCGAGCCATGATTCCTACTCATAAATGCAAAACCAAGACGAGAGTCAGGGTTCTCCCCCTTCCGCGCACACGCGTCACCCTGATTAATTCATCTGAAAGAGCAGAGTGTGACTCTGTGGCTGGGGTCCCTTTTGAGGATGATGCTGAGGTCACGACCTTCCCTCTCCCAGGGGAATAAAACCAAGCCTAAGGTGACTGGGAGGGATGGAAACAGCTTTGTTCTGTGTGTGGCCGGCCAGGTGGTAAATGAAGAAGGTCCACCACAGTTTGCAAACGGGCAGAGTCCAGGGGCAGCCCTTACACGGGCCAGGCGGGAGAGCAACTGACCCAGGGAGAAGGGTATTGTCTCTGGACTTGGTCAGAGGAAATGGATGGTTTGGCTCAGCCTCCAGGAATCTGTTCAAGGAAAGTCCCTGAAGATCTGCCGTTGGTTGGGTTGCTGGGCTGTGGTGTTTTTCGAGGTGACGCGGTCTAGTCCCTTGGAAAGCAGAAGGTGGGAGGGGGGGCTTCCCTTTCCAGGACTGGCAGGAAAGCGGGAAGGTCTCGCCTTCGGAGTGGTGGCGGTGGCGGTTCTGGCCGAGGGAAATGGAATGTGAGCCGCCAGGGGCGCTTGCGGGATGTGGAATGCGATTTATTGCTTAGGGGAGAGAAAATAGGGGGCCCAGATCTAGGGGGGCACAGAGTGTAGGGAGAACATGTTGCAGAGAAATGGGATGTGTTTTTTTAAAGGGGGGGAAATTGGTGGTATATGGGGGAGGGCCTGTTTCCTACAGCCACTCCACTCCTGCAGGTTGGTGGGGGGAGAGGAAGGAATCTGGAAAGGAGAAGGAACAAGGAACAGGATGGCCTGCATCTGGTGCTGGGGAGCGGCTGGCAAGGGTGCGGCCATAATACCTGGAAGGGGGAGTTTGGGGCTTTTGGGATGGGGACGGGGCAGGCAGCGGGAGAGGCGTGGCAAGGGATGCGGGGGGGGGGGAGAGGCAGAGCCTCTGTTCCTCCACCCCTCCTCTCAGTCAGCATCTCCGACAAGACCTAGAGACCGCTCACAAGGAGCTCCCAGCCCACTCAGTGTGTACAGGATTGCACCCTTGCTTTGCACGCCAGGCACCCTGAAGAGCAGAGTCCAGCCCAGGCCCTCTGCTTTCGCTGGCTCCACAGGGTCTCCCATCCTCTGCCAGCCGCCCCCAAAGAGTTCCTCCACCCCTCCTCTCAGTCAGCATCTCCGACAAGACCTAGAGACCGCTCACAAGGAGCTCCCAGCCCACTCAGTGTGTACAGGATTGCACCCTTGCTTTGCACGCCAGGCACCCTGAAGAGCAGAGTCCAGCCCAGGCCCTCTGCTTTCGCTGGCTCCACAGGGTCTCCCATCCTCTGCCAGCCGCCCCCAAAGAAGGCTGGCTGGGGGATTGTGGGGATTATAGTCCCGGAGAAGAACCTTTCCAGGCCCTGTGTGGAGGGTTCTGCTTTCTGACCTCCATCCACCCACACAGACACACACACACACGCAGAGAGAGAGACAGATGCACGTGTGCTCCTTTTGACAGATTCAATCGCCAGCCCCACCATTTAGAGAAGAACCTTTCCAGGCCCTTTGTGGAGGGTTCTGCTTTCTGACCTCCACCCACCCACACAGACACACACACACACACACACAGAGAGACAGATGCACGTGTGCTCCTTTTGACAGATTCAATCGCCAGCCCCACCATTTGATCCCGACCCCTGAACTGGAACAAGGTCACTTCTTCTGTGGCTCGTTGAAGTCAGTTTTAAAGGGCATTTCTGGACAGCCTGAGAGGCACGCAAGAAGAACCTCTCCCAATCTTTCTGCCATTCTTTTGTATATGCTCGTTTTGAATGCAACTAAAAATCGTGCAGTGCAACAAGTTGCTACTTTGTCATTCTGATAAGTAACAGTGGCAAGTTACTTTGCAAACACAATATCAAAGGACAAGGAGCAATTGCTTTTTTAAAGCAACTTTTAAAAGCAACTCTCTGTGCACAGGTTGTCTACCTGTTTGTTGTATGTATAATGCGTGCACGTGCGTGTGTGTGTGTATGTGTGTGGCCTGCTGCCTTTTCCTGCCGTGCTTGTGGGTTCTTTGGGGCCATCTAACCCCTCATCACTGCAAAGCTGGAGAAACAGGGCCGGAAGAAGTTGACCTGGCTAGGATCCAGCAAGACAGAAGGACCGAAGGGGGCCAGGATGCAGGCACTGGGAACACAGGCAGGGTCAGGTTGGAGAGGGCACCGGGCAGCGGGAGAGCGTTCTGAAATCCAGCCGCCGCGCCACCAGCCCAGATTAAGTTTCAGAGAATTGAAAGTGGCTGCTTTTGGGAATCTTGAGGGTCTGGTTTGTGAAACAGCCATTGTGGGTTTGTGGTGGAGAGCCGGAGACACCATGGTTTGGCAGAGAAGCTGAGCCGGAAGGCAAATTGTGACTTGGCCAGGGCAATGTCGGGTTTCTGCTTGTTCCACCAGCAGCCCTTGGGTTGGGAAGCCCGGTCAGCGTCTCACCTTGAGGCAGCCGGCCAGCGCCCGTCACTCGACAGCCAAGCTGCGCTTGAAAGCTGGGCTTGGCCCACAGCCCTCCTCCTCCACCCCAGACAAAGAGGCCTTCAGGACGATCCGCTCACCTCTCCCAAAAACAACAATCATTAGAGAGCCCGGAACGAAGGCAGCAAAATGCGCCTCCCTCACTCCTAGATGCGCCCCGGTGGTCCTTTCTGCCAGCTGTGATAGGAGGAGATGCTTTCTGCAGATGCCTAGAAGGGCTTTCTCCCAGGATTTGAAACAATTCTGGGGACTGGGGGGTGGTGGCTTTCAGGTAAGAGAGGCAGGGCTGCTTGGCAGATGGCCAGGCCAGAGCACCGTCTTCTCAGCCACAGGCCCTGAGTTGCTCCACGGGTTTCCTGTCTGTCCCGCAGCAGGCTGTAAGTTCACACCCAGAGGGTCATGCCGGCCTTTGCAACTCCAGTCCACTGGATGTGGAAGAAAAGCCAATGCCCTGGGTTGCCCATTCGGGCTTCAACCTCTATTCCTCCCTCCACCCCCACCCCCTTTCCCGCCTTTCCTGCTCGCGACAGATGACCTGAAGGGTGAGCAGCTGTTTTGTGCCGCTTTCCTTAAAAAGAGTGGGGGGGGACTCAAACAGGCAAGAAAGGGGCTGACCAAGGAAACTGAAACACGGCCCCTTTTTAATATCTAGGTTGAGACAGAAAAGGAAGGATGAGGTGGCTGTCGGCCCAGCACCCGGGGCTAAGCACTGAGCAGCTCCCAGGCTCTGAAAATAAGCCTCTGGCCTTCCCACCTCCCACTTCCGACTTTTCTGGACTCTCTCAGTGGACTTT